AAATCTGGCCCTTTATTTTGGTGCCTAAATGGGAGCTGAGCTCTCTGGGAAATCTGAGCCCATGTAAGTGCTCGGCTCTAAGCAGCTAGGCCCTGATATGTCCCAGGCACAACAGCATTGTCAACCGCTGGTGTTCAAAACACACAACGTGTCTGAAGTCAGTCTGAAACCAGACCATGTGGGCCCAATTCCCCGAGGTGCGGAGCTTCCCAGCTCCCCTGACTCCAGTGGGAGTTGAGGGGAGGGGGGCTCAGCACCTGGGAAAAGATGGATTGCAATGTATTTCAGGAACATGGTGCTGGGCCCATAGGCCAACTGGTTCCCCTCACCCCATGTCCTTGGATTTTAGATGCTCACTCCTTTGTTTTCACCAGCAGTATTCCTATTCCCCGCCCCACTGTAGTGGCAGGAGGGGGCTGTTGGCCTGCTCAAGGAGGCTGGTAGCATGGGACTCTGTGCAACAAAAACAGGGATCAACCCGCCCTCCTCCCCCACCCCAAACCTTCCATTGAGGGCTGAAAGATTCCCATGAACCAATCACGTGGCAAGTGAATCTGTCTCTATCCCAGCATCCTCCCACAATGGCTCCCTTTGTATTGCTACTGGGGGAAATGGGGCAACGGCCAGAGTCCCACCTGACTCTCACTGCTCATTACCCAACGGTGCACAGCGCTGGAAAGAATAACACGGAGCTTTTTATTCACACATCCAAGGAGCAAGAGCTAATGACAAAGAGGCGGGAGAGAGAAGGGCAGCCGAACTCCAGGTGTCAGGGACCTGGTGGTCAGGCCAAGAAAGCAAACACTTGTTTTGAGTCAGCATCGCAAAGGAACTGAGAAAGGGGGTAGGCACCCAGACTCCTGGGTTCTAATCCCTGGAGCAAGTCATTTTCTTTCCTTGTGCCCCTTGTTCCCCATCTGCCAAATGGGGGTAATGATGCTTACGCACCTCACAGGGGTGTTGGGAGGGTTAATTATTAACGATTGCAAAGCACTGGATATGTGCCAAGTATGCTTATCTCCTCTAAGTGTAACAGCGCCCCCAGCTGCAAGGACCCCCAAACTGGATCCATTATTACTGTCCCTTCACCCTCCACAATCCCCAGCATCCAAGGTGTCGTGGGGCCCAGTTAACTCTGGGCCCAGGCACAGCGCCAGCTGAATTGTTCCAGTGTAAAATCTGGGAACTTGAAACCTGAGAGATCCCACCCAACAAGCACCTAGTAAAAGAACTCCCCAGAGGTGCTAAGGCCTCTCCCACTGCTGCTGCCCCGTGGCAGTGCTAAGGGAGATGCCCCAGTGTCCGTTTCAAACCTCTGGCCCGTTGCACAGACATATGGCTTCACTGGCTGTTCTCCAGTGTGTTGCTTAGTGTATACAGGGCCTCTTCCAGGCTATCCCACCACGGAGGGGAATGTGGGAAAGGAAATGGGGCTTTTGGAAGCTCTCAAAGAGTCTGTGTCCAGATGGGGATTGGCGCAGGGCACCTCCTTTTCTAGAAATACACCAATGGCTTCTCTGGAGAGCTAGACTGAGGAGTCCGAATGCCACCTAAAGGAAACCCAGAGGGAGAGGCAGGTCAGGGGTCTGTCTGTGACCTCTTAACAGCAGGATGATGGAGAGTATCCCTCCCTCTCACCGGCCACCTGGCACATTCCCCTGGCAGTTGCCCGGCACCCACACCCCTCCCCGCCATCTGCCCCCTCCCCCCGACTGGGCTAGTGACTGAGCAGTCGCCTTTGGGGTAAGGTTTCACCACACTGGGCACGGCCTGAGACACAGGAGCTGTGCCGCTTAGCACCTCTCCTTACCCTTCTCCTGGTGAAATCCTGCCCTTTACTGTGATACCAACAACAGGAAGTTAGTACAGTCACACCTCACACCCATATACACCCACTCCCCAACTCCCTTCCTGCCATTCCCACACCAAAGAGGTCTCAGTGCCCAGCATTTCTGCCACGAGGCAAACATGCTGCCGTGGATCCCTGATGGATGAGCCCATGTGTGCATGGCACTGGCCAGTGCCCTGGGCTTGTGTGTTGCCACGAGGGCAACTAGGATCCACTAGTCCCTGTCCATGCAGTGCTTCCAGGTGCTGGATGCTAGTGCTCTAGGAGCACCCTCTTCCTGCCCAGCTCTTGGGCTCTCCAAGGCCTGCCCTCCCCATGCATCTCAGCTCTGCCTACCCAGGTGGGTTAGGAAGTCACAGGTTTGAGGGTGGGGTCATGCATGTGGTACAGGCCGCTCTCCTCATCCTCAGGCACCTGCAAAGACAACGAAACTTCCATCAGGCCCCGATGCCCTGTCATGAAGGCATCGACAGAACCTGCTTTCCTGCCAGTGGGGGGTGCCATAGCCACACAGATGGGGAGGAAAACTATAAACAATGATGCGGCGATGTCATGGACAATAGCGCCACCTTGTGACACACCACAACTCCCAAACAGTCCACATAGCTCAGGTCCAAAGCCACAAACATGATCCCAACACCCCCCCCGGCCCCACACCCCCCCCCCCCCCCCGTCACCAAACCCCATTCCCCCAGCCGAGTGCTGGACACCAAGTCCCAAATCCCCGTCAGCCGAAGGGCACCTGACTGCGACACCCTCCCCCCCACTTTCTGCAAACAGGCCACCAGGCCCCAAAGCCCCCCTGCCCTGGCCACAGTGACGAGGACCAGCCCCCATAGCTCACCTCCCAGTAGACATCATCCTCAAAGCAGTTCTCATCTGCAGGGTCCCCCAAGAACGGCATTTTCAAAATAGCACCTTAAAGCCACAAAACAGAGAGTGAGATGGGAAATGCCTCAATCAGTGAGAAACAAGCGGGCCAGGGCCAGGGGCAAGCGGCCAGGGCCAGGGATGAGCCCCGCTGGGGTGAGCGGTTGGGGCAGGGACGGGTCAGGGAAACTATTCCCTCCCAGTGTTGTAGGTGAAGTGAGGTTGGGTCAGTTTTGAGCATGTCTACCCCTGGCCCTTCATATTGTTTCGGGGAACTCAATGTTATTCAGTGGAGTTCACAGGCTGGGGGTAATTTTAAAGGGTGAATCATGTGCTGCATTATAGCAATGTGGGCAACCCTAGAGGAAACAGCTGGGGAAGGGGCCATCTCCTCTCCTACTATCTGTTAGATCAGAGGAGGGCAAACTACAGCCCGCAGGCCACATCCCGCGAGCCCTTGAGCTCCCGGCCGGGGAGGCTAGCCCCTCCCCCGCTGTCCCCCTTTCCCCGCAGCCTCAGCGTGATGTGCCGCCAGCGCGGGAGGGGGCTGCACTGCGGGGGCAGGGGAGAGCAGGAAGGGAGGCTCACCTGCAGCCTCAGGGGAGCAGGCGGACGGTGCGGGTGGCGGGAGCACGACGAACGTGGGCGGAGGACTCAGGAGGAGCACCGGGCGGCCGCGCAGCCGGCCGGAGAGAAGCAGCGCTTTGAAGGTGAAACCGCCGCTTCTCTCTGGCTGCATGGCTGCCCCTGCTCCTCCTGAGTCCTCCGCCCATGTTCGCAGGGCCGCATCCTGAAAGGGGCGTTAGAGGGGGCGTTGGATAGAGGGTGGGGTTCCAGGGGGCTGTCAGGGGGCAGGGGTGTGGATAGGGGTTGGGGCAGTCAGGGAGCTGCCGGGGGTTGGATAGGGGGTGGGGTTCCAAGGGGGCGGTTAGGGGCAGGGGGTCCCAGGAGAGGGTGGTCAGGGGACAAGGAGTAGGGGGGGTTGGATGGGTCGGAGGTTCTGAGGGGGGCAGTCAGGAGGCGGGAAGTGGGACGGGGCAGATAGGGTTCGGGTTTGGGGAGGCACAGCCTTCCCTACCAGGCCCTCCATACAGTTTTGGAACCCCGATGTGGCCCTCAGGCCAAAATGTTTGCCCACCCCTGTGTTAGATGCTGAAAGCAGAAAAGCGCTTCCTAGAATGGAGACCTGCTTGTGAGTGAGCTGCTCTGAAAGAAGCCGAGATCCCGGGGAGGCTTGGGCTAGAATTCTGCCGTACCCCAAACGCCCACAGGATGGTAGCAGCAAAACGTCAAATGGGGAAATGCAGAGCATCTGACCGCAAGTGTAACAGCCAATCAGAGGCAGAAAAAATTAGAACTAGAGCTCACCCCTAGCTCCGCACTGAATCAAACCAGACTCACAACTAACCCAACCCAACCACAAACTGAACCAGACCCAGTCAGAGACAACCCCAAATGAATCCACAGCCATCTCCAAACCGGCCCAAGGGCTCAGGCTGAACCTGCTGAGATTCAGGGTTCTACATTTGCTGGTCTATTTCCTCTCCCCCTTCTGGGCTTGTGGGGTTCAGCTGGAAGCAGAAGCTTTGGGGACCTCACAAGCCTGGGCCTGTTTTCCCTGGAAATGCTCAGCCCTGTTTGGGATACAGAACTGATCCCCTAAAATTGTTATGTTCCCCATTCATTGCAGCCTTCTTGGTTCTTGATGCTATTTTCCAGCTCCCTTTTTGGTTCATAACATGCCCCAAAGTCTCATCCTGCCAGGCCTGCCTGTTAAAAGGGGATGGAGTGGCAGATGGGGCTGCAGAAGAATCTGGGCAATTCCCCGCCCCCGGCTGTCAAAGATGTGCCTTATCCCAGTGTGTCTCGTGGTGGACTATATGCAAGAGCCAGGATCTGCCCATTCTGCTGGGGACCTGCAGGGTACAGAGCAGCGCTGCCGCACGAGGAAGGCCCACCTCCAGAGGGCAGTACTTTTGGAAATGACATCATAGTTTCAACCAATCAATACTTTCCACATGACATCATTACATCTGGAAGTGCCACTTGTGGAGGTCGGACTTCCTGCAATGCTGGGGTGGGAGAGGTATTAAGGGGCTGTTGTGATAGGGTCAGTGGGGAACAAAATAGTCTTGGTATGCCACATGTTTGCAAGCCTTAGGGCTCGTCTCAATTTCAGGGGCTGCATGTGGGAGCAGAAGGGTTCTTCTAGCCCAGGAGATGGACCCTTCCTGTAAGCCAGGGTGTGAGCAATTCGAATGGCTGAGCCGGCCACTCTACAACCACAGCCTGGACCTGGGCCTTCTCCTCCATTCCCTGCACCCCACTCACTCACCCACAATGGCCCCCCCAGCCAAGGCCATGGCCAGGGACACGAAAATGCCAGCTGCCTGGAACCCCCCTTGGACACTGGGCGTCCGATCCTTGTAGTCACCCGTGAAGTCAAAGGTACTGATGAGCCTGCGAGGAAGGGAAATGATGAGACCAGCTGTCAGAGAGACACTCCTCTGAGTCGGGGAGTCCGTGCTGTGGAGGACGGGGGAGCTGCATTCACAGCCCCTTCAAACCATCTCCCTGGCACTGAGAGCTCATGTTCCCATTGAGGAGTAGGGAGATTGTAGCAACATAGCCCAGCCTCTTTGCTTTTATTCCTTCTTTTCCAGCCGTCCCCCTCCCCCAGAGGCCTCAGCCTGGACCAACAGGCTGCAAACTAGGGGGGTCCAAAAACAATGAGACCCGGGGTGGCTTCCAGACCTTCACGGTTTATCCTGGAGTCTGACCCCGAAAAGGAAGCAACAGGGATAAAGAGATTCCCCTTCATGAACCCAACTGCCCCTATTCAGAGTCCTCCAAGACCCAGAATGAAGGTGGGCCTTGGAGTTATAGGGGCTCCCAACAGGAGGCAGCTGGAAGAGGCTGCAATCCTCCAAGCCTGACTCAGCCTTACAGGCCCAGCACCACTCAGGATGCATATCTGTAAGGGGGCACTCAGCTGCTGCCACTGACTCATCTCTCATCTCCCTCCCGCCCAACACACACGCTGGCCCAGAACCCACCCCACTGCCACGGGAGAGATTTAAGCAATCTTACCCTTCCTTTCCATACACGTCTTCAGTGGCTGCAGCTGCGGTGACAGCCCCCACAATGCCTCCAATAAGCCCCGGCATGGCATGTAGGTTGTGGATGCCGCAGGTGTCCTGGATGTGCAGCTTGGACTCCAGGAATGGCTGGAGGGAATGGAGGAGAGAGAGAGAGATTATTTCCTCTCCCTAAGAGGCAAGAGACTGGAATTCCTCTGAGCAGCGCTTACCATGAGGTAGACGAACCCAACGGTGGACACAATGCCACAGAGGAATCCAACGATGAGGGATCCGTATGGAGTCAGCATCATCTCCGCACCGGTCCCCACAGCCACGCCACCGGCCAGCGTTGCATTCTGGATATGAACCTGCGCAAATAACGCTCACGTCTTACCACTTTGTCTTTGGGACAAGAGAGTTTTAAACCCATTAGTGGCAACATTTCAAGCCAAGCAAGGAGAAAAGCAGGGGAAGTGGCTGAGAAAATGTTCCAAGAAAAAATGAAGATCTGGGCCCATTTTCATTTGCATTGGGATTGGTTCCCTGCCCATCACAAATTCCCAATGACTGGATTTGCCTGAAGCCAGAGATTTTTAACCACCAAAAGTTACATGAATGGGAGGAGATTGAAGACGAAATATGAACAGCTAATGGGCTGGGGTATCATTTTCATGTAGTGGAAACAAAAAACTGCATACACACATGCGCATTGCTGCACAGATATGCCCAAAGTTTGGTGCTGGCACAAGCACAGCACTGTATGGCGCCTGCTGTCTCTCACATACACACGCATGTAGCACCCAGAAAACACCGTATGGGCCCTGCTCTGACACACACGTCACTGTATGGGTCCCTCTCCCTCACAAACACACACATCTAACACCATATGCTTGCATGACACCGTACAGTTCAACCCTGGAACATGCCCACCACCATGGGACCATTTCCACTGGCTCTGCAGCACAGGTATCTGCATGGCTCTGCTGTCCTATGGGTCCACCGGCACACAGGTGATCACACATATCTGCTCCTCCATTTGCCCAAGCATGCCCACACACCTGCTGATGCATGGATACCGCACATGGTTTTCATGCCAGAGCTTTGCAAATGATTCATCCCATTAACATGGCTCAAGCTGCTGTTGCATCCAGAGCTCCTACCCTCAGAAGCTTTGCCTCTTCCGCACCCCATGAAATCCAGTGCACACTCAGCAAAGGAAGCAGCCCCCAATCAGACTGCCTGGCCCTTCAGTCAGCCATGAGCCAGGAGAGGGCACAGCAGGCGTCTCCAGCCCGTGCTTACCATGTCAAGCTTGCCTTTCTTCTGCAGCAGGCTGGAGAAGGCCACGGTGGTGAGGACACAGGAGGCCAGGGAGCAGTAGGTGTTAATGGCGGCTCGGTGCTGCGCATCCCCGTGGTTTGAAACAGCTGAGTTAAAGCTGGGCCAGTACAACCACAGGTACAGGGTACCTGGGAGAGGAGGGGGAGGAGGGGGACAGTGTGGGGGAGGAGTAGGAGGGAGGGGAAGGAAAACAGGGAGCAGCAAGGGGAAGGGGGGTTAAAAAGAAACCACAAGAGATGATAGTTATATGGAGAGGAGGCTAAAGCCAGCTGTGCCCCAAACTCCCAGCTCCGCCTCCACTGCCAACTCTTCCTGAAAGACTCCAACCAGGAACTCAAAGCTGCAGTAGCACGTGGAGCCTTTCATTTCTAGGGCACCAATTCCAATCGGACCCCAGGCTGGGGGGAGTGGCGGGCTCTGGAGTGTCTAGGAATGGCACATGGAACCTCTCACCTCACAGCAGCACTTCCAGTCGGACCCCAGGCTGGGAGTACGGGGCTCTGGGGTGTCTGGGAATGGCACATGGAGCTTTACAATTCTAGGGCACTAGTTCTAATCTTATCCGGCCTCTGGGGGGTGGGGGGAACTGGCCAGCTCTGGGGTGTCAGGATTGGGAAATGGGATACACAGTTTTTCACCACTAGGGCACTGGCTCCAGTCCGGTTTCACACAGTCTGTGGGATGCAGCTTTCATGAAGTCTCCAAGTCCGCAGTTAACTCACCGATCATAGCAAAGAGGTCGGAGTGGTACACAGAGCCTTGCTTGTCTTTACTCTGTTCCAGGTTGGGCCGGTACAGAATTCTGGTCACTGTCAGGCCAAAATAGGCTCCAAAGGTATGAATGGTCATGGACCCACCAGCATCTTTAACCTGTGGACACAGAGCAGAGGAAAATTCACATGTTGGGAGTATTCTGGCCAATCAACTAACCATCTATCCGTCCAGCCTATGCTGGGTCACTACAGGAGGGGAACAGAAATGCTCCTGGTCCCTCCAACTGGCAGGCAGAACATCTCAGCCACATCCTTCCAATTAGCCTCCTCTGTGGAAGGCATCATGGCAAAAGGGCATTTCTGGCCCCTCCATCATGTGACTTCATGGCGCATGGGTTCCAACAGCATCCCCAGAGTAGAACTACCCTGAGGTGGCAGTCCCAGTGTGGGCAGGTAAATGGCAGACAAAGAACAGGGCTTTTAAATAGAGTTTATTGCCCCTTGAAACCTGGGGCTTTTAGAACAAGCCACAAAACTCCCAGTAAAGGCCATGAGCAGAGATCAGCAGTTCCAGAACTACAGACCCATTGGCAATGCTCAGATCTGGATCCAAACTTCCCAGCTGGCCCTTATCTCTCTAAGGGGCTGACTCAGAACTCCAGGTGTAAACACCCCAGAACTTCGGGGGAGGGGAGTAATCAGGATCTGGCCACCGTGAACAATGAACCCCAGTCATCTCTGTCCTCAGCTCTTACTTGGGCTTTCCTCCTTTTCCCCCCTCTTCCCTTCACTGCTGCTGCCTCCCACCCTTGTGCTTGTTGTTTTCCCTCCTCTTCTTCGGCCTCAACACAAACACACAGCTGCTGAGATGAACTCTCCTGGAAGGGAGCTTTCCAAAGGCATTCTCCCTAGCTAAGTTCACCCAGAGCATTGGTGTCAGGAGGAACAACTATGCAGATGGAAATAATGGGCAGTTCCCTAAAATGAAAAGGGTTGAACTTCCATCCCCATGCACAAGCTCCAGTCTGACCCCACCTGCACTTAGGATCGAGGTGAATGGGTTCCCCTTTCAGAACAAATCTCTTTTCCTCCACCAGAGCAAAAATCTCTCGTATGCTGCCAGAGGCCCTGTGCTCCTTTACCAGACAGCTCTTCACTTTATGGCGTGCTCTGATTTTCTTCAACCAAAGAAATATTACAGCAGGGGAAGGAGCCAAGAGGGAAATACTGTGCAGCCATAAAGGGTCTGGCTACACCGCAAGAAAAAACCCTGCGGCAGCGAGTCTCAGAGTCCAGGTCAACTGACCCGGGCTTGCACTACAGGGCTCAAAATAACAGAGTAGATGTTCCCGATGTGGCTGGGGCCCGGGCTCTGAGATGCTCCCAGCTTTGCTGGGTTTCGGAGCCCAGGCTCCAGCCTGAATGGGAATGTCTACACTGTTATTTTTAGCTCCATAGTGTGAGCTCGGGTCAGTTGGCCCAGGCTCTGAGTCTTGCTGCTGCTGGGGTTTTCTGTGGTGTAGACGTACCCAAAGAGAGCGTCAGGCCCTTTGTGTGGAGATGCCCTGGCTGTCTTAGGAAAACCCCACCAGAGGGGATCCCTTGCTCTCAAGTCACTGCCGCTGCTTGCAGAACCCGGGGAGATTTCCCATTCCCAGACTAAGGTAGCAGAGAAGCCAAAGGGTGGGGGAAGTAGCCCCAGCTGTTTGCTCATTGATGCGTTTGGAATCTTTTTACATTTCTGCTTAAATTGTTGTGGCTGGAATTAACCCCATGTGTTTACTCAAACAAGGAGCTGATGGACCTGACTGGAGCCAGGCACTGTACGATAGCCTACAGACAGCTCTGCTGCTGCACCTCACTCCTGACCTGCATCCCCCCCACCCGGCAGTGACACCCCGTTTGCACTGCCAGAAAGGAAGGGCAGGAGGCTGCCGATTTTGCTGACTCAAAAGGGGTCAAAAGGGGAGCCTTACGTGGAGCAGGCTGATGAGGATGTACTCATTCACAGCAAAGAGCGTGACTTGAAACAACGTCAGGATGAGCAGCTGCACGGGGCTGGTTTTGCCCAGGATGGCCCCAAAGGCGATGCAGACAGAACCCACGCAGAAATCTGCATTGATCAGGCTGGGGAGTGGGGGATGGGAGAGAAAACAACCTGCAAGTTAGTAATGGAGATTCTCCCTCTCCACCACTCCCAAATCTAGAGAGCCTCACCCTTGCCCGGACACGAACCTCATCCTGGCTTCCTCACCAGCACCCCACTTGCTGGGTGTGACTAGAATACTGTCCCTTTAAGGGACAGTACCACTTTTGCATCCCCCTCCTGGTGGGCTAGATTCATAGATGGAAGGCCAGAAGCGACCATTGTGATCATCTGGTCTGATCTTCTGTCTAACACAGGCCACAGAACTTCCCCACAATAACTCCTAGAGCAGATCTGTTAGGAAAACATCCAGTCTTGATTTAAAAATGGCCAGTGATGGAGAATCCCCCACAACCCTGGGTAAACTGTTCCTCTGGTTAATTGCCATCATTGTACTCGGTATATGCATGGCTAAGGGTGAGATGAGTTATGGGTCTCTCTTCACTGGGATCCCCAGAGGAGCTCCCAGTGGGAAGTTAGGAGCCCCTTTGTAAGGATAAAGCCTTTTTTCTGTAGCCATATTGTAAGGTCTGAGGCCTTTGTCTGCAGGCATATTAGGAGAGCAGCAGCCAGGAGCTAAGCAGCAGAAAGTCACATCTTCACATTCTATCTAAATTACATTAAAACAATGTAATATCGGGCTGTTAAGAAGGCGATCCTGTCCTAATAGTACCCATCATCACCAGATAAAGAAACAAATCTTAAGATGGTTAAAGAAAACTTTGTTTGGTAGCATTCTGTCTGGCAACTTATCAACAAGTTTTGGCTGTGAAATCTCTACTTCTTTATTGTTTTGTCTTTATGGTCCCCACTTCTCTATTGTTGATCTGTATGGTCTCTGTCCGGTTCTTGGATGGTTTGTCTGTTGCATAACAAATTTTACTAGGTGTAAATCAATTAAGGTGGTGGGGTACGATTGGTTAAAGGATTGTTTTACAATATGTTAGGATTGAAAATTGTTTAGTAACATTTTAATTAAATGATTGGTTAAGGTACAGCTAAGCAGGACTCAAGTTTCACTATTTAAACTGGATCCAAAAGGAAGTTCTTGGGAACCAACTCCAGGACACAGCCCCAAGATCAGAGCTGCCAGACCAAAACACCCTGCCAATTACACCATGCAGAAACTGGAGTCCCCTAGATAACCTGATCCTGACTGGCCAGCTGGAAAAGTTCGTCTGCCTTATTGGGAGTGGTGAACACTGTATGCCTAGCGTGTGCATTCTGTTTTGGTGATTGTTAATAAATAGAGGTTAAGTATTAGGGGATATTACTGTGTAAGGCTCTTTCCCTGGTGGAAGACCCCGTAAACCCGCAAAAGATGAAGCCCGGAGTCCATAGGGAATGGGTGTTTGCTCTCAGTCCACAGGGAATGGGTGTTTACCCAGAGCCCACGAAGGAGTAGAGCCCGGAGCCCATGGAGGGGTAAAGTTAGGTGCCTTTCACCTGGAGCCCTAAGAACTGGGAAAGGGTGGAGGTGCCTAAGTTAACAGGGTTACACCTTGAGCCCATGGAAGGGTAAAGGTGGGTGCCCTAGAGTGTGTGTAACAGGGAATTTTGTGCGGGTAACACCCTAGCCCTCAGCATGTGGAGAATGGCATAATGAAGTTTCATCAGATATGAGGCTGTTTGTCCAAAAGGACCTGAGCAATGAAAGTCCCAAGACTGAGGGCAAACAATGAACCGGACACTTGGGGCTTGGCCTGGGGTCTGTGAGAATTGGTCTCATGTGGCTGGTTTCACCTGGCTCCTTCCTCACCATCCAGCAGAGCCAGCCACCCCTGGAGTGGAGGTGGAACCCAGCCAGAAGTACACAGCACCCTGCGCAGCTGAGGAGGGGAGGGGGAATTGAGACCAAAGACCTTTTCTTATGAAACAGGCTCCATGGGGTCTTTAACAGCAGGCAGGGCAGAAGATGTAATATGATCTGGAGCACCCTTTCTCCACATAGAGCAGGGGCAGAAGCTCCAGGCTGCTTGGTCCCCTCCCTGCATCTCCACTGTCCAGCAGGAGATGGCTTCCATCAGTCCAAAACCGTCTTACTTTTCCACTCCAATGAGTATCTTTCCGTTCTCGAAAGAATGGAACCAGCCCTGCATCAGGAGAGCCCACTGGATCCCGAAGGCAGCAAGGAGGAAATTGAAGCCAACAGCTCCAAAGCCATAGCGCTGGAGGAATGTCATCAGGAAGCCAAAACCCACGAAGATCATCACATGGACATCCTGGAAAGCTGTGTCAGGGAGGAGAATTCACCATTAGCATTGGGGGGGGGGAAGGGGGAAGGGAGCTCCTGCAGCCTAGGAACTCGGCACTTGCCCTAGTTCAGAAATACCAATGATTTTTCAGGAGAAATGTTGAAAAAAAATTCATTTTAAATTTTGCACAAACATTTTAAAAACAAACTGAAAAATGAAAAAACTTCAGTTTTTGGAAATGCTTTTTGGTAAAATATTTTGGCTTTGAGGGAAAACCATCAGTGTTTGGAAAGCCCTTTCAGTAAACATCGTTGGTTTTCATTTCAGTAAAAATATTCAGTTTTGAAAACAAAACACTTATCAAAATAACCTAAGCTGTAAAGCACAGACATCTACCAACACATTTTTTTTCTTTTCAATCTCCATTTTTTAACCAAAAAAGAGACTTTGAATCAGAATTAACATTTTCCATGCACACTTTTGCTTTACTAACAAACCCTTTTTCATTTAAAAAACCGTAAGTTTTGATAATTTTTTGCCCAACAACCTGTCTTTGCTGGGTCAGAACTCAGTGTCACTGACTGCTCTCCGCCTTCCTGCTCTGGGAACTATTATTATTAGCAGCCATTATTTGTATTATCAGAGCACATACAAATGAGCCCCAGTCATGGACCCGGGACCCCATTGTGCTAGGCGCTGTACAAACACAGAACAAAAAGACAGTCCCTGTCCCCAGGTACTTACAATCTAAGTACAGGACAAGAGAGAACAGATGGACAGAGAGGAGGCACACACTCTGCTCACTTCAATGGAGGGTGAAATCC